AGAATATAAAAGATATATCAAATAAAAATATGTGTAAAATTTTTGATATATAGCAAAATTTATTATATATAGTAAAATCTCTTTATATAAATATAGTAAAATCAAATTACATAATAATTATAATATTATCTTAATATTATAACTACTCATCTTAAATTAGAAAAAAATCTGTATTATTTAAAATTGATATAATATTGATGAAGACCTTAATAATACATATTATATTTATTTTTAGATTTGATGAAATCTTAAAAATCTTTAATATAAGATTTACTAAATTAAATATTAGTAAAAACATATTTAATGAGAAGAATTTTAGGAATCAAATAAGAGCTTTCTAAATAAAAGAAAGAAAATAAATTTATTAATAAGTAAATACTTTAATGATTATTTAATATTTTATAATAAATAAGCTATTAAATCATATTATTAAAAAAAATTACAATTCTAAATATCACATAAGATTTATTAATCAATGATAATCTCATATTAAATGATTTCTTAACTGCGTTGAATAGTGATCAACAATAATTTTTATTCACTTTTTTTTATGTTTTTCTTATATTTTCTATATAGTTTATTTTATTTTATTTATTTTATTTCATTTATAATTCTTTTAATGTCTATAATTTATTTTTATTCTTTTTGTTATTTTTATAGTTTATTTTATTTTATTATTTTATTATATTTAAGTATATTTTTATCAGAATATATATATATATTTAATTAATTTATAATATAATAAGTAGTTAGCCATAGCAAATTAATCTTGTATAAATATAATAACTTTTGCTTAAATTATAAATTAATTTATTTGTAAGTTTCTAAGTTTTAAATTATTAATAAAAAATCAATTTAAATTTACATAAATTATTTTTTCTTTTAATATTATTTTTTATCTAGGATTTATTGTGATATTCTACATTAACTTACTTTTAAGTTCATCATTACTAAAGTTACTGAATGAAACTTAGAGATTTTGCAAGTTATCTAAATAAAAAAAAGTAAATTTTAGCGAAATTTTATTAAAAAATCTGCGAAATTCTGAAAAAAATAAAACTATATCAAAGTTTATAAAAATGTGAAACTATATTAAAACTTTAGTAAAAATTAACAAAATTATAGTTTAAACATTTTGTTAAATCTAAAATGAGTTTAAACAAGTAACTTAATTATTACAAATTTGATTAAATATATTTTAAACTCTAAGACATAATAAATTGCTGAATTAATTCAAGTATAACAGATACTTTTAGGACTTAAAAAAATCCTAAGATTAGAAATTCTAATATATAGAATTAATTGTCACAACCTTTTAACTTAAATATCAAAATAATTAAAAATGAGCTTGATAATAATATAAAAAATTTTTATAAGAACTTGTAAGTGATTTTATAATAGTATTTAAAATAATTAACTTTTTATTTTATAAATACTTTTAAAAATATAAACTTATAAAAATGTATTAAAAAGGATTTAATCAATTAATTACTTATTATTCAGATAGGTTAGAATAATAAAATTAGTATATTAATAAGAAGTTTTAAAAATAGAACCTAAAAATTTACAGAATAAAAGAATAGTAGAAGTTATTATAATAAAACTAAAAATTTATAACAATAAAAAAAGCTAAAAGAAAAAGAGTAGTTGCAAAAATTCTAAATAAAATATCACATACCATTAATCAAAGCTTAAATAAAAAACTAACAAATACTAAATATAGAATTACTAAGAATGAAATAGAAATTTTTTATATATTAAAAATATATAAAAGTAATTTTACTTATATTTATGAAAATTTATTAAAAATTTGAATTATAATAAAAGTTTAAAAATAAAAACAAGTAAATTTGTAATTTCAAAAATAAATATTATACTATTTTTGCAAGTTTATTTTTTTATTTTATAATTTTATAAAATAATATTATTAATTAATTAATAAAATAAAAATTATCTATTATATATAAAATATTATTTCAAATACTTTTTATTAATTAAGTAAGTTAATTTACTTAAAAAAATATAAATTCAAAATAAATTTTATAAATTTTATAAATTTGTATCTTATTAAGATTAAAAAGTAGAAAAAGTTAATATAATAGTAAAATTTTGTATAAGTATTATACTTTTAAAAAATATAGAATATCTTAGGCAAAAGTAAAAAAAATAAAAGTTTATTAATAAATTACTTTAAAAAAAATCATATTATATTAAATAGTTAATATTTAATTATTAAAGTTTATAAAATTTTTAATTAATAATTAATACTAATTATTATTATATTTATTATATTAAGATATATTTAATAATAGTAGTATTAATAAATTACTTAAAATAATCTAAATAATTAAATTACTAATTATTTAGATTATTTTAATATTAAATGATCAATAATTTAATTATTAAAATTATATTATATGATAATTCTGATTAAAATTATTTATGTAATTTAATATTTTAATACTGTTAATAAATTTTCATATCATATAAATTTGTGATATTAATTAGCATATAAAATTTGATATGAATTATATAATATTTTATTTAAATAATTTAAATAATAAATAATCTTATTATTTAAAGATCATTAAAAGATTATTTAAAATAATCAAATAACCTGATTATTTACTATTATTAAATAGTAATATACATTAAATTTTTTTTAATAATTATTAATTATTTTTAAAATTTAAAATTTAAAATTAATAATTATTAATATATTATTTTTCAATTATTCAATTTTTTAAAAATAACTTAAAATTATTAAATTTATTTAATTAAATTTTTTAAATAATATTATTTTTATATTTCAAGATTAATAAATAGTAAGATACTATATATAAATTTAAATTTAAATTTTTATTTTATAATAATTTATTATATATATTTGTTTTTAAAAATTACTAATTAATTATATATATTTAATTGTTATTTAAAAATATATTAATTTTTTAATAAATTATTTTAATTATTAAATAATTACAAGCAAATTTATAGATAAAACCATTAAAATAAAATTAAAAATCAGTATTTTATATATAAATTAAGTAATTTTATTAATTTTAAATTCAAAAATAAGATTTATAAATAATTTAAAAAATTTATTTTTTTTATTTAAATTTATCTATTAATTATTTAATAAATATTTATAATTATTAATATGATATGATCAAGTAATTCAATTTATTTTTTTATTAAATATTAAAATTATAATTTTTAAATTTTTATATTATATGATAAATTAATAATTATTTTAGTTTATTTTTTTTTTTAATAAAAAAAAAATAGTTAATAATATCTTCTCTTTATACTCAAAATAAATTAAACCATAATTATTTGAAAAATTTTAAATTATATAATCTTAATAAATAAATAAATAAACTTGTTATTTTAAAAATCTTAAAATTTTCTTTTAAATAATATTTTGAACCAGTATTAGATAGAATCTCTAACGTATACTGTAAGTGTAAATAAAAAACTGTTTCCAGAATATTTAATATGAAAAGTTTCAAAATGTGATTCGTGTAACAAATGCCAGGTCAACGGTAATATATAACCTTTTTATTATTGGTATTATTGAATATTCTCTCATAAAATCGATAAAATGTTATTGCTACTCACTATAATCTTCCAAGTTGAAACCTTTATAAATGGATAGGTAAAAGAAATCACCTTGAAATTTTTTGTCTATATTTAGTGAATATCTAATTATTTAATTAAGGTAAAGTTATCATCATTGTTTTTAACAATTATTTATATATCATATACAGGAAAACAGGAATTGAGCAATATTAAGATAAATTGGTTACTATATTTACTAAATTTTTTTTTCGGAAAATAAAAACTGAACTGAGCGTACTTTATTTATACATGTAAGAATTAACATGTGAATTCTAAAATCTTATTCTATAAAAGAACTATTTTGTTTGATTATAACGTCTCACAAAAATTTAAATATGTAGATAACAAAAATTTTGGGAATAATGTTCAATATTTTTTTCCCATCCTAAAAAGCAAGAATGAATTTATCGCGGATAATGATCCTTTTTTAAGAAGATCCTTTTTCGTGCCACACTTCAACATAACAGATAGATATCGATTCATTTTTGTACAATCAGCTAACATTGTAACACAGTAATTATTTTACACAAATCTGCGAGTTGTAATCAATAAGGAAGGTAGTAAAAATTTTTTTTTTTCTTGTAATCCCCAAATATTGGCCGTGGAAAAATTTACGTTTGTTAGTCGGCGTTGATGGCGCAATTACTTTCTTTTGCATTCGATTATCAAAAATCTGTTCCGTTATCACGAAATATCAGCAAATCAATTTTTTCTTTTTTCATTTAACTACAAAGCTTATCTTTTTATCGTTATATCGTTTTAGGTATAATTGAAGATAAGCAAATTTTTTTTTAATTTATTCGGTTTAATAGTTCATTTACGCATTTTGTTAATCGTACGTATTAATATATTATCAATAAATTACAAAAAAAATTTCTCACGCGACCAATCACGATATGTATGGGAAACTCCGCTTTTTCCACCGATACGTGCCATGTAACACGTAAATTGAAACTTAAATCGTAGTTTATGCTCACACAGACCGCGTAAGATATCAAACATTGTGTTTCTTTGTTAAAGTATTATTTGGTAACAAAAAAAAAAAAATTTCATTCACAAAATTAATAAATAAATGGACCATTTTTTTTTTTTTTTTTTTTTTTTTTGCATTATTGTCATCGCCAATCTCTTACGGTTTTATTCTTTCTTCCTTTAAAATTCAAAAAAAAATACAAATAAAAATAAAAAAAAAATTTGAACCGAAATAATTAGGAAATTACCTTTTCACACTAGTCACTATTCATTAGACCTTATGGTAATCAAATTGAAAGAACGTTTCGCCAATGCGGGTTTCCAGTTGACGTAATATTCTTATTTATAAAAACTAAAATTTTTAGGCATCTTTAATTGAATCCTCCACCAACGAGTTCTCACCAAATATGGGCAAACCACAAGGAAATTACACAGTTGACAATCATTTCTTCTCAACTTCCCTTGTGCCCAGTAAAATGAGACAAAAATTATATTACCTACAATCAATTTTAAATGCATGCGCCTTAAACGAGAACGTCATGACCATATTAGAAGGAGAAGGTACTGTAATTGTAAAAAGGTTTTTGATTGTACATTTTTCTTAACGTCGGCTCACCCATATAAATAAATACGCGTTCAAACTTTATTAGTTGAACGAATGTTCGCGAGTCTTGATGAACTTGAAAGAGTTATGCATAAACTTGATGGCCAAATGAATGAGGTCGATGAAATAAATTATGGAGATGAAAAGATTGATGATGAACTTTTGATGATTTATCAAAACGTTGTTCATTTAATAAAAGGAATGGAAGAAAATATGGACCTATTGGAAAAATTAATTCATAATTGCGCAGAAAAACATAAGTTTTATTAATATTAATATTATATATATATATTTTTTTTATTATTTTATTTAAATCTTTACTCTATTTATCACCAAAAACATTTGCATACACCATATCCAAGAAATCTAAGTTTTAAAGAATTCCTATCATCATTACTATTATTATTAATTTTTATAATATATCATGCGAAGATGTAAATATGTTCGCCGATTGAGCTACCCACACCCTTTATTTAAAAAAATTTCTCTTAGAATTTTAAGTTATTTTTTTTTTTTTTTTTTTTGTCGGTTGTAAAACGTACCTTTCCTATATGTATTTCTTTTCCTTTACGTAGTTTTTGTTATTAAATAGACGTACAATAACTTTATATGTAACAAATATGAATAAATTAAAAGATATCTACTTTATTTCAATTAAGATTGCTAATAGCAAAAGGTATAACTACCCCTCTTTCGCTGAAAAAAAAAGAAAAAATACTCAATCCTCAAAATAAATTGGTTACATCGGAACATTTACTTTATTTGTTTTGCATATTTGTTATGATGATCGAAATCACTTTTTTTGTAATATAAAATTTTCTGATTTTCATGAAACTTTATTGATATTTAAAAAAATGGTTATTTGTATGTTGCAAGTTAAAATTTTCAAGAAAATCCATTCTATCGAATCCAAAAATCGTCTTTCAATGTGGATTAAAGATAATCCGAAATTTTAACTTCATTTACGGGACGGGTTATTTTTTTTTATTGGAACTTTGATCAATTACATATATAGAAATATTGTAGTTCCTTTTTTATAAACCATTTTCGTCATGATCCTCAATTAGTTGTTGTTTGATAAATTAACAATTCTTTTTAATTAGTACAAATTCAAAACAATAATGCAAAATTATTTGCATTGAAACATCTATTATTTGAAGAAATTATGGTAAATAATTTTCGAGTATTTATGTTTGACGAAAACTTTTATCTCCGATGATTAAACTTATTGACCCGAAAGATTAATAACAAATAAATTATTTTGGTTAATGTAACTTGAAAATTTTTTGTTATTCAGAATTTAGAAAAATATGATGTTTCATCATGTTTTGTCCTAAATTTAAAATTTTAGCGTTTATTAAACCGAGAATGCTGTTTAAATTAAGACATATGCTGTCACATGCCCATGATTTCTTTATTTTGGTTCTATATCCACGGAGAACCCCCGGAATTTGAAATTTGTTACGTTAATTTAAGAAACTACCAAAACTCGTAGTAATCCATATGTGATTTGGGATACCATATTTGTTAAAATAATATAATTGACGTAGTACGAAGACAATAATATTTTTTCATTGTTGAAGGAAAAAGGTTTTTGTTAGATAACCATCATTCAGACTATATGGAAAAGGTACTAACCTGAATACTATTTTTGAACATAAAGATATGCCTTTCGAGAAAATTATTGGTAATCTTCAAGGTCTTTTGAGATGCCATGTCCTCTTCCAATGGTCTTGATCTTCGTTCAAAAAAATATCAATTTAGTGACAGATTTGAAGTATGGAGAATTATAAAATTTATCACATTTAACAAACTTTTTATTAATTTTTTATATTTGATATTGTATACTTGTAATTTTTAAAGTAAATTTTTTTTAAGTCCTGAACAAGGCGATGCTTTCGTATTGTTTTGAAAATTGTGAAATGATTCTTATAGTAACAATCATAACAAATTTTATTATTCTTTTATGTACATTTATATTTGTAGCAAAAATATTTGCCTATAATAAATACTTTTCTATTTAGATTTAAACGGTTCTAAAAGTACCGTATTTCGCGGTCTAAAATACCACCTGTAAATTAAATTTTTGGCTAATGCGGACATTTCGATGGTGCATATCAGAAGCATAAAATATTTACTGTGTTGTAACGTCTATTGTTTATTTATTATAAAAATGTCTAATAAAAATTTTTTTATAAATTTTTTGAACCGTTAAAACTAATAACTAAATTCTGCAACAACTACTGTAAAAGAGCGTTTAATTGAACTTGGTTCAAGTGAATTCCATGCAACTCACACCCATTCAACAAGTAGTAAGTATGATGGTCGTTTAATTCGTCTTGAGGGAGTTAATTCATGGATTGTTTCTACCATCAAACGATTATAAAGTGCGCGAATCCTTGTTTAAAACTCTTATTAAAATTAACTTCTAATGGTTGAACTTTGGGTGTTAATCCACCAGGAATTACGGCTAAGTTTGTATTATTTATAGAAAATTGAAGTTTAACCGGATCTACTATATGTGCTCTAAATGAGTCAAGAATTAAAAGAGAATTTGGATTATCAAAAAGTGCTCTTTTAGTCCAGACATTTTCGATCCACCACAGCATTTCGGTTTCGTTAACCCAACCTTTTGGATTTGCTCGAACAAAATGGTGGCAATTTTGTTCCATCAGCCATACATCCAAGAATAACAGTAAAATTATTTTTTAATAGCCTGTAGTACGAATAGCAATGGTTCGAGTTCCACGTTTTTCAATTGTTGATGGGTTTGGAAAATCAAATATAAGAGGAGTCTCATCCATATTTCCAATTAAAAATATTGAATACGTAGTTCTAAAACATAATTAATAAAGTTTTGCTTTAATTTTTAATTTTCAGGTAATTTTTGCGAAACTGACGAATTGATAAATTATGATGATCTAAAAAACCATCAAGCCAATTATTTGAGAATTTAAATGATTAAATATTTGGAAGGTGTTGAAAATTTGTATTTTGTGAAAGTGAAACTGCTTTTATAGTTATCAATGCTTGAGTAACAGGATTTTGTAATTGATGTTGCTCTGTAATCCAATTAAACAAAGTATTTTCAATTTCCAGATAGTAAGGCAATTTTCCATTATGTAATTTGGTAGTTTTTGGTGAAACTTTGATTAGTTTATCTTTTTTACCTATCCATTCACGTAGTTATTTTGGTTGAATATTAATTTTTCTACAATATTCTTTAATGCCAATTTTATGTTTCTCTTAATTAGCAATAATTTCTAATTTTTCTTTGGCATTTCACTTTCTTTTCAATTTTTTTGTTATATGAGTTTTTAAAGGACTTCTGTTACTTTTTGTAACCATTTCAAATAATCATGCATTTTTTTTTAACAAAAATTCAAATATTTATATAAAACATCATTTGTATATTTTGCAAACAATAACTAAAATTATTAAAGACACACCCTAAAGAATTTTTATAATTTAAAAAAAATTATTGTATCCTATATTATTATAGTTAATGAAATATAAAAGAAAATATTTCATGGTAAAGTAACAAAAAAGTTAGGAGTTTTTGTATTTTTCTTAAAAATATTTTTAACTGTTTTGTAATTATTAGAGTTCTGAATGAGTCGAGTCGAGTCGAGTTTAAAGATCAGCTCGACTCAACTCTCTTTTTTCGAGTCGAGTCGAGTCAAATTTATTTTATAAAATCTTTCAATTTGATTTGATTCGAGTTATATAAATTTTAAACTCGACTCAATTTAACTTGACTCAATTTTAACTTGATTTGACTTTGAAAAAAAATAATAAAAAAAAACGAAAAGATCGAGGGGGGAAAAAAAAAGAGCAAACGATTCATTATCATTCAAGTCGAACAATTTGTCATCGTTCTTCTTGAACGATTCTTTATCATTCTTTTTAAACGATTTTTTTATTGTTCAAGGCGAACAATTCTTTATCGTTCTTTTTGAACGATTTTTTTATCGTTCAAGTCGAACAATTTTTTATCGTTCTTCTTGAATGATTTTTTTATCGTTCAAGTCGAACGATTCTTTATCATTCTTCTTAAACGATTTTTTTATCGTTCAAGTCAACTCAAATCAACTCGAATCAAGTCAAGTTTAAATCGAGTCGAGTTAAATATTTAACTCGACTCAAATTTGGCTTGACTCGCAAATCATTGAGTCAAAAAAACACAAACTCGACTTGATTTGAACTCGACTCAGCTTATCTGACTCGTGAGTTAACTCGACTCATCCGGAACTCTAACAAAAGGTATTATTAATATAAAGGTTATAGATTTAAAGAAGGTCTAAAAAATAAAAAGGAAATTACCTATACTTTTAATGAATTATATATTATGATCAGATATTGATTTTGATGATCATAAATCTACAATTGTGTGGTGAAATACAAATGTCGATAATGTCAAATATATTTAATATGTCTAATATGTTTAATATAGCTAATATGTCTAACATATTAGATGTCTAACATAGTTAATATTAGAGTTCCGAATGAGTTGAGTCAAGTTAAGTTTAAAGATCAACTCTATTCAACTTGTTTTTTTTGAGTCAAGTTGAGTCAAATTTATTTTATAAAATCTTTCAATTCGACTTGATTCGAGTTATATAAATTTTAAACTTAACTCAATTTGACTCAACTCGAGTTTAACTTGACTCAATTTTGACTTGAATTTATTTGAGTTGAGTTAAGTTCAAATCAAATTTCAAGTCAAA